TTGTCAATCAATTATTTTGGTACAGTAACTTTGTGTATTCCTTTCTTCTTTATTTTCATTTTCTTATATTTTTTAAACTTTTCCTGGATTATTCAAGATTTTGCCCATAGCATTTCTCAGGGTTAGAACTCAAAATTTGAATTTGTTTTTCAGGTTTTTCCTACTTGAGAAATTGAGTCCTTCCCTTTTAGTTCTCTATTTCCAGCTCTCTGCACATTGCTATAATATTGTGTTTTATCTTCTCACATTTCCCTGTGAAATCTTCTACTTAGATCTTTACTTCAGAATCTCTTCCCCAAATACCCCCTCACTCATACTTTTTTTCTTTCCTTCTCCAACCTCAAGAATAATTTTCAGTCTCTTCAGACATTCATTTTGGGTTTTCATTTCCTTTTTTTTTGTAATGGCCTTTGGATTATAATCTTGATATCATCCCACAACTTGTCTGTCAGTCATTGGTGTTCAATCCCTCAAACCTATTCTTTTTTTTTTTAATTTTTTTTTAATTTTATTTTTGTGTGCGTGTACCGTCAAATCAGATCTGACTGGTACAGGAGGAGATTGTCCCTCCTTCCCCAGCAGAGCATCTGGTGGATTCGAACCGTGCGCCTCTGGGATTGTAGTTGCAGTTCCTTGCCACTAGGCCACCAGAGCTCCCCTTCAAACCTATTCTTAAGGTTAATTTTAAATTGAAGGCAGATATACTTAAAGTCATAGTTTGGTTCTTTGAATTTGTTTTCCTTTTGAATTTCAACTCCTTAATATGTCTTCCTGATCTTTGACCCTTTCAGAAAATGACAAATTATATGAAAATGGAGAGAGTTCATAAATAGTCATGGAGGACATGATTCTAAAATCAGTCTTATGAATCTATTTTCAAAGTGATAGGAAATATAGGTGAAGATTAATTTTGATAAATTTGAGATTTATTGAGGAAACAGGCTGAAGTTTGCTTATTGTATACCGTTGAGTCAGAACTGACTCATGGGTGACCCTCCAGGCAGGTTTTCAGCCCTGCAAAAGAGCTTAATTAGTTGATATTATTTAAAAAAATAAAATAAAAAATTACAGGTCCCCTTAAATATGTTCTATACTTAGAATACAAAGTATAATTTCATTCAGTGAATAATTATTGAAAATTTTACCTGTGCTTCACATAGTTTGAGCATATTTCTATGAGGGGCTATTCCTTAAAGAAGGATATGATGTTGGGAAGGGTGGAGGGTTGGCGAAAGAGAGGAAGATCCTCAACTAGGTAGACTGACATGGTGACTGCCACAGTGGACTCCAGTGTGTGAGGAAGTGTGAGGATGGCACAGGATAGAACAGGGTCCAGATCTTTTGTTCTTAGGATCTCTATGAGTCATGCACAATTCAATGGCACCTAAGCACAACAACAAAACCAACCTGTGGTAAGGCCTAACAGTAGCTACACAGCCCTCTTCCCATCACAAATTTGTTTTCTAGTGGACAGTAGATACCTGTGAGATCAGTAAAAAGAAGTGAGGATAGAAGGAGCAAGTTATAGATGAAGCTTTTGGTTATTCCAAGAATTCCAATTAATCTTACATCATTGAATGTTAATTCACCTCAATTCATCCTTGGCTGTTGTTGTTGTAGTTGTTTTGTGCCACTAAATTGGAATGACTCATAGGGACCCTCCATCCGATTTTCAGAGGTTGTAAATCACAATGGGAGGAGATTATCCATCATTTTCTGTGGAGAAGAAACTGGCAGATTCTAATCACAGGCCTTTGGCACCACAGTTCCTTACAACTAGCTATCAAAGATGCCACTATTTAATACTTTGTTGTTGTTGTAATGAGCCTTTAAGTTAACTGTCACTTATAGGGACCATATGAACAACCAATCTGAAACCTGTCCTATGTTGAGCCATCCTCACCGTTTCCTACACACTCAGCCCATTGCTATAGTCACAATGTCAGTTCATCTTTTTGAGGATTTTCTTCTCTTACACTGACGCTGTCCTTTTCCAAGGACTGACCTCTCCTAATAATATGAAGATATTTCAATTTTTACTATTTCAGAAGAAATTAAGTAACTAGAGTATACAAGAAGAATTTAAAGTTAAAAGAATGTAATGATGAAAATATTTAAATTGTTTCAAAATCCATAAAGGTAAAATAAAGCTAGTAGTAGTTGGTCATGTTTAACAGTGACCAGGAGAGATTCCCTATTTGGTAATATTTTTGACTCAATTGTCATATCAGTCAGAGCATTTTCTTTCAAAAGGATTTCTATTTATTTCTAGCCATATATATGGAATCAAGAGAAAAAGATAAGGAATGATGCTGAGGAGATAAGCAGAAGCCAGGCTATAAATCAGTACTATCTCATCTATCTGAAAATTTTAACATACTTTAGACACTTCTCTTACATAGTATTAACAATTATTAAAACTACCCTTTCCTCCCCCCTTTCAGTTGAATGTCACCTGGGGTGGAGGGTGGGGAGAACCAAAAAACTTGTATTGAATGTTTTCTAGATTGTTATAAATATACACATTAGTTTACACAAGAATGCTCATGTCTTGTTTTTAGATGCTCTAGGTAACCGTGGGCTTGAACATATCAGAGATCATGAGAGAGGTTCAGGATAGTGTAAGAGTCAAATCTACTGTTCACAGGGTTACACTGAGTTGTAGTTCACTCAATGGCACCTCAAAATAATAGCTAGTTCCAAATCACAGTCGTTCTGTGGACAACAGAATCAAACCCTGCGTAATCCTATTCATCTTCAGCATCGTCACTAAGCATGCACCCACTCTTATATAATCATTTGTAAACTCACCTCATTGAGAATCTTCTTTTATCTCTGAGACTCTACCAAAAAGAATACCTTCTCCAGAGACTAGTCCCTCCTGGTACTGTGCCTAAAGTTCAAAGCATACTCCCAGTGCTTAGAAATATACAAACTCTATGAAAAAAAATCAAAATATTAATTCCCATCATTAAGGACATAGTCAAATATTTTAAAATTCAAATAACTTTTATTTTGATTAATCCAGAGAAAGCTCTTACTCTTTTTACTATAATTCCACAGTGACTTTGAAATAAAATGGAATCTTGTACTAACAGGTTGGCTGATAAAACATGTTTTGTAATTTGAAACATATATGCTAATATTAGTTTCTTTAAATAGAGTTTTAAAGGATTACTTTTCTTTTATATCCATATAAGCGACAATCCTTGAAGATACTGGTCTTTTCATTTATTAAATACACATATTTTAAGACTCTAACAAGCAAATTCTTTTACTGATAGGTGAAAAACTATTTTATTTTGGATCTTTGTGAGAGCTATAAACAGTACATGATTTTCAAAATAATGATAATGATGTTATGATAAAATATTTATCTTGAATATGCTCAGCTCCACATATTAAGAAAGAGTATCATAAATTGAGGAATTATTATAAAACTTAACTAAAGCAAGGTATATCTATACCGTAAGTTATTTTTATTAACTCAAAGTGCTGTTAATAGTTAGGTATATTTTTATGAAGATGGTAATGAACTCCAGGTAATGACCATTTGCCTAGTGATTAATAAAGTACCATCGTACTTTCAGAAGGCTGTTTTCATAATTAAACTAGCCAGGAAGTATTTTCCCTGTTGAAAACCAGGTGTAAACAGCAATACTTCAGATAAGAGAGCAATCCCATGCTGTTTTCTTATGTCTCTACTGTACAGAATTCAGTGAGTAAAGTTTGTAGATTGAGTGGGGCTGTTTATTAGAAGTAAAGAACTAGGAAAAATTTTTTTAGTGTGACTCAAATACTTAAACTGAGAGAATGACAGGAAACCATTTAATAGCAAAAATAGTCTTTCAAACACTGAATATGTAGTGACTGTGTGGCAAACATGTGGAAGCAAGCCCCAGCATAGTAATTATAGATAATTTGTGAACTGTTTCTAATTTCCTCACTGTGCAAATTATATGCCTATATACTTGAGACAAGATTTGATTCTTGGAAGCTCTTGCTGAGATTCTCATAGCTTGAAACTGACTGTATTGTTTCCTTGTTCTTTGTGCCTTTCTTCTTATTTTCAACTGGTTCTGAGTGAAAGGAAGGAAGATATTGGCATCAATGTGAAACTATTTTTTCTGTATATAATTTCCTCTGTATTAGTACCAACTGTTAACTTTCAGCAACTTTGACTAATCATGGATTAGAAGTTGAGTGTTATGATTCATGTCTATGTTCAATAACCTGCCTTAGTTCTGCCACATTAAAATAAATTGTAACCTTCCCAATATTGGGTGTCATGCTAGTTGACTCAATACTTGTTAAAGACTCCTAGGTACTGCAAAATTATTAGAAGGCGTTACCAGCTAATCAGGGTAAGAATTACAAACTTTGAATTATGCATTAACATCATTTGTGAGAAATGGAGAAGATAATAATAATAATAATAATAATGGGCTTCATTTTTTTTCTAAAAATTGCTTTCATTCTGTTTCCTATCATTAAGTTTTTCTAAAAGAATCATTTAACATGTATATATTCATTCATTTTTAACCTTTTTTTAATCTTATATGGTGGTGTAGTTTGTGTTTGTTTCTATATATGTGTGTTTCTTTGTTTACTTCTCTGACAAAGCATGCTATTTTTATTTGTTTTGATTTACCTATTTGTATTTTGCTATTGCATGTAAGACTTTTCAGTGGCTGAATGAATAAGTGTATTCTTGTTATTTTTCAGTTTCACTTAAATATTTTAAGAGACTGGTTATTTGCAAAGATTGCTCCCATTTTTTTTTTTTTGCCTTATGTTGGAGCAAAACAAACAAACAAAAAAGTGAAAAAAATGACAAGAACTCTTGATCCAGTCAATGTTGTGCCTGATAATTTGTGTAAACCTCTAAAGGTTAAATCTCAATGAGACACATATATTTATAATTTGAATCATTGTGGTGTGTGTTTTTCTGTTTGCATGATATGATTTTGTTTTGTATTTTGTTTTTTTCCACTCACCAGATGTTCCCAACACTTTGCTTCCCACTACTATCATCCCCTCCCTTACCACTGCAACAGTCACAACCTCTGTAGCCATAACAACCAGCCCAACCACATCTGCAACAACCAGCAACATAAGAGGTACAGTATGCTTCTTTGTTATGGCCTGGCAAACACACTCAATGAAGCTTTATAGGGAATCTTAGAAAAAGAAAAGCATTCCAAGTTTATTTAACTATAAACAAATAATCATATCTAAATTATTTTCAGCTTAAGATGTAGAAACAGAATATAAGGCAACATGTACATTTTATTTGGTTTTGTTTTTGGTGTCACAAAGGACATTAAAATTATGCTATTACTACTAGTATATATACTCTAGAATATGGTAAAAAATATATAGAGTAATGTAAGGTTGTAGAAATTTCAAAGGGAACATGGACATTGATTTTTTTTTTTCTTTCTTGCCTTGACAGTATAGAGACATGTAGAGGAAACAGTCACTTTTGTAATATCCTAAACTAATGCTTAAGAGTTGTCATTCCTCTGCAACTAGATTTATATTCTTTCAGTACTATATTTGCTTTATAATTGACTGTATCTAAGGGTCAATAGAAATAATTCATTGTTTAGAACTTTCAGGGAAATATTTAACCCTATATTATTCTGAGTGAATCTGTTTATTCAAACTAGACAAAAGTTTTAGAGTTGGTAAGAATGATTATTTTATCTTACTAGTTTACAAATACATATGTTTACTAAAGACAAATAGCTAAAAAAACTGAAGTTAATTTTAAAGGCAGAGTATTTTCGTTGTCGCTAAGATATATAAAAACATCCCATTCAGTTAGAAATTTTCTAGTAGTATCTTGTAGAAAGAGTAGAAAGAGTTGCTTAAAGTCTTATAGAAAATTTACTTTAACTTTGTTTAAATGATATTCACAGTGTGTTTGTCATATTTAAATGTGTCTTTCATTACTGTTTATCTGTGCTTTGTGTCATTTTGACTATACTAATATATATTAAATTTAACACTTAAAAGTCATGGGGGAATTACTTTTGGACATATATAACCAAGTTGTGAGCTCTGGTGGCCTAGTGATAAGAAACTGCGTTGCAATCCCAAAGGCATGTGGTTCAAATCTAGCAGCTCTTCTGCGGAACAAGGATGGGCAATCTCCTCTAGTTTGATTTACTGTCTCTAAAAACACACAGAGGGACAGCTATGGGTTGGTTCCAACTGCATTATATACAACAACAGTCAAGTTGTAGCAATATCATACTTAAAAACATTTCTTTAATTTATAAAGATTATTTTATAATAACATCCATTTTCTTTATGAATTTCATTATCTCTGACATCAATCAAATTGAATCAAGAATTCGGAATTAAAGTTTATTATAGTTTCTCCTGTTTAAAGAAAAAGGTCTATTACCTCATGAATGTCAATTTTTAAAAGTCATGTCAACTATGTTCTACAACACACAAGGTTGGTGAATTAATAAGTTTCCTGATGTTATCAATCAGGATTTCAGACAAAACTACCCAAACTTATCTTTATATGGAAAAAAAGGTGGTTTTTTAAAAAATTCTGTCTACAAGAGTGAAAAATTTAAAAATGATGATAATGAAACATCAAACTGTGTCTATGAAAATTTAAGAAAGACATAATTAAAATTAAGCAAAAAGGTAAAATATTTTATGATAAAATAAATATGCATTTGTACTTTGGTTTAACTGTTGTTTTAGTCATATTATGTATGGTACTTTACATTTCTCTTTTGTAGCAAAGTAGAAAAAAGAAGATTCTATTAAAATGAGTAGAAAAATGTTTGATTTCAAATAATATTAACAATATTTTAGGGTATGCCACATATAGCATATGTGGGATTTGTCCTATTGCATTTTAACTTACTTGCTAAAATGGAATCGGTTTCTATGTTTTTATTTTTTTGTGGGTTTTTTTAGGTTTTTTTAGTTTCTATATGTTTTTACTCTAAACCTATTTGTTCTTTCACGGTTTCTTTTGGGAATTTTAAATGAAAAACACAAAAATTGTTAAAAAATTAATATCTCAAAGATAACATATACAAGACTTAATATTTTTTAGTTTTGGGTTTATATTTTTAAATTATGCCTGAACATATGGAAATAAAAATATGTTTTGTTTCAAGTTAGTTGATTCATATAAGGAAAGTAAAACAATACTAATATTAAATGTATATATAATATATATAAAAAATATACATATAAAATGTATACATGTAATATATAAATATATATATAACATTAGATATGTATTGATACAGTAACTGGGGCAATGGGGTTGGTGTGTCAAAATTAGTGAGACTGTCTCAAGACAGGGAAGGTTTCAGAGCTGCTGTACACAGGGTCACTATATGTTTCAGGTGACTCAATGGCACATAACAACAAAAACATTCTATATTGGATTTTCACTTAAGCCTCTTGTTTATAGTCAACAAGACCTCAGAGAGGCCTTTGTATTTAAAAGTCAGTTGTTATTATATTTTGGAGGAACATTCTTCTAAGTCGTATAGAACTTTTCTGTCACTATGCTGTACTGAGATAACCAGGGGTTTCTGTGATTCTGAACTTTGTTCCATTGGGGTATCAAATGCCATAACGGGTACATATGGTGGACAGTTTTTGGTGGAGTTCCCAGTTTAAGACAAGTTTGGAGGCAGGATTGGCATCCACTACTTAAACAACATGCCTGTGGAAACTATCTGAACTTTGATAAATGACAATAGAAAGGCCTCAGGCCTTTTGTTCTCATTGGGTCACTATGAGTCATGCTTGACACTCAATGGCAATCAACACCACCACTATATGTATATATACACACACACTACACACACACACACACACATATATATATAGATATATGTGTGTATACATATATACAAATGCATATACACACATGTGTGCATACATATACATATATACATATATGTACACACATGCACATACACACATATCTTTTTAACAGCAATATTAATGCAAATGAATTTGATCAGTTGATGGGATGACTATCCAAAAGGAATCTATGATTAGGCATTATATGAATGACAACAATATGGAACAAGGTGTGCACTACAAGGATGGCTGGGGGAGGAGTGATGTATTAAGTTAAGAAAAGGTGCAACAATGAAAAAAATTGAAATAAAATTTTTTTGAAGTTAAAAAAAGAAAACTAAAAATGAAAGAGATTTTTCTTTTTTCAGTCTGAAGTATTTGTGATTTTCTTTTACAATCTTATACTCTTCTGTTATACAATAATCTAAAATAAACTAAATGCATTTTGTGTTATTTGGTAATGATATCTGTATTATTTTTGCATATCTATTTAATAAAGGAACACAAATCAGTTACTGTTGGTATCTCCATGTGCACATTATCACTACTCATTATTGCTTGATTTTCCAATGCTATCACATGAAAAACAACTTTTAAAATAAATTTAAAGAATCACAGCTGTGGCTATATTGGAAATCAAGGCAAAAATGTAACTAAACAAAAAGACCCTTGTAAACTTGTATTGTTTGTCATGACTTTGAGAATTTGCAAATCTCTTAATTTGTTGTTTAAAATTATACTTGTTACGAAGACAATCTAGTTATATACAAAGAGAGTTCCAGCTGCTAACGTGAAGGTAGGCAGTTGGAATCCACTAGCTGCTCCACAGGAGAAAGATTTGACAGTTGGCTTCTGTAAAGGTTTACAAATTTGAAATCTTGTAGATTATTTCTTCTCTGATTTAAGGGGTTACTATGAGTCAGAATGGACTTGATGGAAATGAGTTGGAGGGTACAGTTGTTAGACAGAGGATGTTTAGATATAAAGAAAGTAATAAACTTGAATACATACGCACTTGAGATAGAATATGTGAACCTAGGAGGCATCATTGGACATAAACATTGTTTTTTTTAAGTTCAAAGGTTTGAGACCTTAGACATTGAACTAGATTGAATCACTGCTTATCAGACAGAACAGTAATAAGAAAGAATCCTCACGGTTCATACTTGTGGTTATTTTGTTCACACTTAATCCTTGTGTCTTTTATGCTAGTTGTATGGTATCTTAAACTGTGGAAATATAATAAGCTCTTAGTAGATTGAAAGATTATCACTTAGTTTTCTTGCCATGTGGTTTCAGATAGTTGCAGTATACAAATAATAAAGTGTAAAAACTTTTCTGCAGAAAAAAAATTGCTATAAATAATTGTATTTCAATTAGAGTCCCTGAATTATTGTCACACACACACACACACACTCACACTAATATGCACATGACTCTCTTTCTCTTTCTCTCTCTCTATATATATACATATATTCACACACATATATACACATAGACATATACATTTATTAAAGTATTATAAATTTCATAAATTTCCCCCAAATGCATTATCTCAAATATCTAACATTTACATATTTTATTGTCCTGTTCACTGTTTTAAAAAAATTAAATAACTTTCTGAGGTTGGAAATTGTCATTTTTGTCCCTGTCATTCACTAGGACATAAGAGCAAATTATTACAAATGTTATTATTTTTATGATACTTTAATACATTCAATAAATTGAATACAGTTCTGAGGATTCTGATATAATTTGTTATCACCTTAAGCATTATTTTAACACTTGCTTAATTTGAAAACATTTTAAATTTTTTTCATATAAAATAATTTCAATTTCATATAAATCATGCTCAACAAAACTTTAGCAGCATCTTCTATAAAATACTGAGTAGTCAGTGGTCATATACAGACAGATAAGACTTTTTTCCCATATGATTTCTAAAATTAGTATGTATAAGTAAAACTTTTAGAATTTTTCTTCTTTTGGAAGATACTAATCCTCTTTGAAAACTCATTGAACTCCCAGTTGGTGGAGAATATATATATATATATGTGTGTGTGTGCGTGTGTGTGTATGTGTGTGTGTATATATAATTTCTTCTTGTAGAAGATTATAATTGTGGAAATAAACTGATACAAATTGTGGAAATATATCAAATACCTTATATACTCACTGTTTTAATGCTTAGAGTCTGTTAAAATATTGCATTTTTTACATATATTGAAAATGGAGAGCAATTTCCAAAAACAAAAATGAAAAT